AAAAAAATAATAATAATATTCTTGCTGAGCAGAGAGAATATTTCTAACTAAATTTATTTTATTTGATTTCTGTTGTTTGGTTTTTACTTTTGTAATTCCCATGGAGTGAATCTTTCTTCGACTTTGTTGTTCTAGGTGGTGATGTTTCCTCCATTTCCCTTGCCTGCTCTTTGGATATTATAGCTTGTGGCTTCCCAATAGCTATCGTGTTGGGCAGAAACATTGGAAGATTAATTATCATAATAAAGAGAAATCTTATATGTAAATTAGAGTTTTGGAACTTACGGTTAAGGTACATAAGGGAAAAAGTGAAAAGGACATTGAAGAGAATTGTGAACCCAAAGAGGACTGCTGTGCCGATCCAGTACCAGTTTCTTTCGGGGAAGATATTGAAGTTGTTCAGCACGGCTACTCCCAAACTTGTGTCATTGTCTGAAGCCTGGATTGGACCAAATATTTCACATTAAAAATGAAACTAGGTTGCAGAAAATACTTAGGAAACTTACAAATTTGTCCATCCATCTTGGAGCAAACATCTCATTTACTACGATGGCATTGTAAGCATAGGTCAGGGGTGAAACCCAGTAACCCCATCTCCACCACACTGGAATTTGATCTGCACGCAAGTAGAATTTGATATCAAATAGTTAAGATAGCCAAGACTGTCCTTTGGGTCCATGTTTTATTTATTTATTTATTTTTTTATTAATATTGTCTACTGTCATCCAATCATCCCTCCAAAACATGCCAAAGATATATTCCGCTAGTGTACTTCTTCAAAAAATCATACTTCTGATATGTTCTTGCAGAGCAGTGTCAATAGAATGTAAAAAAAAATTTAAATCTGTCAAATTCTAAGTTCTTTTCACCTATTTAGCTATGGACGTGTAGTTTCATTTTGTTTGGCTTGAACTAACCTCTAGGAAGGATGAAACCACCCAAAAGGAACAGAACGAGAAGTGTAAGAGAACCACCAGTGTTTGATAAAACCATCGTCCTGCATATTCCTGCAATGAGCCTAAACATCCCCGCAGCCATTTGCTGGATCATAAATATTAGCAATAGTTGCTTGAAAAACCTGAATAAAGGATAAAAGGCTTCAAAGTTGACTCCATATTCTATCCCAGGTAAAGAAATCTCCCTTTTTGAAGATAAATGACTAAAGGGAAAGTTACCTGCTAGCTTCGGGGGCAAATCCTATGGTGTAGTATGTTATGACGGTCCAAACAATCGACTCAAACAGTGATATTGGTATCCTCAGCAGAAAATTGGGTAGAGTGAAAGTCCAAGGTGGGTGGAAGAGTAAGTCTCTGTGCTTGTAGAAGACAGGAAGTCTCTGTATAGCGAGTGATACCTCGGCAAAACCATTGAAAGTATTGCATATAATGCCAAACAATAGCGCACCAATATAGACAGCCCCATCATCTTCGTTCCTAGCATGTAATCTAGTCCTCAAAAACACAGTTGATGTGATGATTGCCACGATAATGATTTGGACAGTCTTGAAAACATAGAAGAAAGAGTTTCTTTTAATCAGAAGCCATTCCTTTTCAAAGTTGGCTTTGAGAAGCTCTTTCTTTGGTACTGAATACTTTTTGTACTCAAGAGCTGCTTTGTGACTTCGGTTCTTATTGTAAGGGACTGATAGTTCATTGTGAAGCCGTAGACCCACGTGGAAGCTCTTGAATCTTTCGGCAAATTCACTCACTGAAACGTGTTTGTATGGCTTGCTTCTATCTGCCCAGTATTGCTCTTGGTCTTTTCTTGATGTCACCTGGTATCAATTTGGAAGTTATTCCTAGCTTAATTCTGTGCATCTGTCCCCTAGTTGCAAGTTTCGTAAGGTGGACCGAAGGGTAATCGAGAGTGTTGATGAAGAAAATGAAATTAAAATCTCGTCCACTGTACATTCTACTTCTAAATAGTACTACTCGTTTATATTGACATAAATGCCAAGTGATTTACCTCTTGCAAGAAATCAGCAGTGCCCTTTCTTTCCGGGCACTTGAACCCACAATTCTCAAAGAACACAAGAACATGCTCTCGCGGACCCTGATAGACAATCTGGCCTTCTGATAGAAGAATAATATCGTCAAAGAGGTCAAATGTCTCAGGCGCTGGCTGGAGGAGCGACATCAAGATCGTGGCCTCTGTGAAGTGTACAATTTGTTGCAAGCACTTCACTATCTGAAATGTTGTGGAGCTGTCCAGTCCGGTCGATATTTCGTCCATAAATAATGTTTTTGTCGGCCCAACAATCATCTCCCCTATACAAACATAGGTAACCATCATACTC